CCCCCCCCCCCCGGCTCTGGTTTAGAAAGCTTTCTTGGCTGCCGGATAACCTGGGAGCCTCTCCAGCTTCTCTTAGGCCACCTCTCTTTGGCAAACATCCCGGTTAATCTGGAGAAAAAAGAGAAGCGCTCGGGTCTTTTCCTTTGATCCCTTCCTCCTTCGAGACTTGGTGGCCTGGCAACGGAAGCCCCCAAAGGGGTATTCATGGGGCACAATCCTTCACACCTGGCCTTGTAAATGGCTTGGTCATCTATGGCGAGCAGGTTTCTCCAGGCGACCCGCCAGAGGGTCCCCCCAAAAGAAGATGGCGAATCTTAAGGAAGGTTCAGAACGGTGCGTCCTTACCAGATGTTGTTGAAAACACCATGATTTCTCACTCTTAGGGCTGATCGGAACTGCAGTAATCCCGAGAACACCCTCCTGTTTCAGGATCACTCGTGATCATGTTGATAAGTGTGTGTTTATAAGACATGGTGGGATAAACACACGCGTATTGAAAGGCGCCCACCCCTCTCAACAGTTTTTTAAACTGACCCCCAAAGGCTTTCGTCCTCATCTGCTAGACCAGGCGTAGGGCCTTTCAAATGTTATTGGACTAGAGATCCCAGCATCTCCTACCATGAGCTGTTCTGGTCTGGGGCTGATGGGAGCTGTGGTCCAGCAATAGCTGTGGGGGGGGGATGACTCTGAGCTAGCCCTTGCCAGAGGTGGGATGAATACGCACCACGAAGTGGTACCTTTCTACCAATTCTGTGTTAGCAATCAAGAGCTATTAGCTTCACAAAAGACCCACCCAGGACAGAGACAAAATGGGCAGGGATTGGTTTTTTGAATCAATGCCGCTGCAGACGACAGGGACTGTTAGAACGAACGCCTGCTCGTTAACAGGAACAGAGTGGTTCTAATTAAATGTCTGCCTTTCTTTTCTTTTCTTTTTTTCCTACAATCCTTCGGATGACACGGTGGGGTTGGCCTTTCCCAGAACCTACGTCTAGCCGGGTAAGACCTACTCAGATAGAAACTGGATATTATTTACTAACATCAAGACATGGAGGATGGATAGCCAGGTGTTAAGGTCTCTGTCTGCAGAGCCGGAGGCTGGGAGTTGGAATTCCCCCCCCCCACGGTGCCTCTTTGAAAGGGGCTGGACTGGATGATCCCTTCCAACTCTCCAGTTAATGATAACGATTTAATGTCATTCTTTATCACGGGAACGGGTTCCATACGGTTCCCTCTGGCTGGTGGCCACATCCCAGGGATTCATGTGGAGGTTTTCCCCAGCCTCAGCTTTCAGATGCGGAGAACTGAAGTGGGATTTAAAGCGTGATCAAGATCAGTGAGACACATTATTTCACCCCAAATGGGAAAGGGCCCTAGTCCTTATGGTTTTAAATAGAAATCAGAATTCCATTTGGTTGATCTCTTGGACCCCTGTTGGATTTGTATTTTTTTTTTAAAACCATTGAGATCAAGACCGGTTTGAGCTGGGCCAGACGATCAAAGTGGTTCTCAATGCATCAGGGTGAGAACTATGAAGAAAACCGAAGTGCTATTAAAATAGGCATCCCGTTGTCTTGTAATCCCCTGTTTCCAAATGTTTTGTGATCCATGGAGACACTGCGCCCACCCGCCTGATCTTCAGCGGGTGGGGAAAGTAGAAGAGCTGATCTTCAAAACCCATTTTCCTGCTCTCCGTTTTCTGCTGCCGCAGCAGAGTGCATCTTCCTCCGGCAATGTGGAGGTTAAGGCTTGGGACATAAACAACCAGGCTTATTTTTGATGGGGATTTTCCACTGCTGTCATGCCTCATTATCCCCTCTGCACCCCCTTCGAAAGGGGCAGGGCGAGATTCTTTTCGAGTTCCAGGGTTGAGCTGGAGTTATCCAACTGTGTTTTAATTTCAGTTGCTGTACAAACATTTTCTGGGCGTCAGGCATTGCTTGCAGAGAGGCCCGCCCTGTGAATGAGCACAGCTAGAGGGAGGGAAGGAGCAGCTTTAATTGCCCATAATTTTTTAAAAAATGTGTCTAGCCCCTATGAAGGAACAGGCATGCTTCAGGTTGTGCATTTGGACAAGTCTCACATTCCAACTTGAATCAGCTTGATTTGGACCTTGTATGGGGTCTGGATCAAAGTGGATTGGCCGGAATAAGGGAGTACAAATTGAATCAAACAGAGCATGAATTGCTTCTGCCTGTTTCTGCCTATGAGGTTATTATTATTATTTTATTCAGAAAGCAAAATGTAAGAGCGCTTGGTAAGCAAATCCCAGAAGTTATCTGTCTGAAATCTAGCATGTCCTCTCTCGTCTTTAGGATCTGGTATGTCTCCAAGTTTCTTTTAAATCAGAGCAAACCAAGCAAGCCATAACCATTTTTAATTTCCAATGCTTTGACTTTAGAAATAAATATTAGTTTTGTTCTGGAGCATGAAAGGAAAGGGTCGAAATACAGATCCCTCTGGATCCAATTGGGACCCAGGTCTGAATCTGCTCCAGATTGAGCGGCCAACCTTTTCAGCCCAGCTATAAGGTGTCTGCTTTTGGGGGCCCGGCTGGCGTGATGCCTAGACAGACGTAAGAGTCACTTCAAGGGAAATCACTCCCCATAAAGCAGCACTTCCCATGTGATCAGGTGCGCCCTTTTGCAGTTGTGTGATCATGCCTCCCCTTTCTGCCCCCTGTTTTCAGAGCGCCTGGTGCAGGAAGCATAGAACTGGTTATTTGTATCAGCCTGACCAATCCACCTTCCCTCACATGTTTGCTATGTAGGTGTTGGTATGTGCTTAGCTTGGCACTTAGGTAATGTACCCTTCTCTTATTTCTAAAAACCAAAGAGCAACTCAGCCTCTCCTCCTGAGAGTTTGCGTGAGGAGGAACCGCTGGACGGCGCTGGAGCGAAGCGCAAGCAAGACGGGAAAGAAGAGGCGGGACGCTACGTAAGGATCCCTTTTCCCCTTGAACCTGGAACAGGTCTCCGAGTTTTACGGGGTTTGCTGTTTTGGCACGTTTTGTCCGGCCAGAAACTTGACGGGCCAAAATCTTGTTGGTCTAAATTTGTGTCGCCAGTTTGTGCCGGTAAAATTCAATATGAATAAATTGAAAGATTCCTACCCCACCCCCCGTTTTGGGATCCGAGGCTCACTTAAAGCTGCCTTTGGGAGCCTTGGAATGGTGAGGGACGGGAGCCTTTAACGGGTTGCCGCTGCCAGGATTGGGGCCGAAACTAACCTGACTGGACAGATACAGTGGGGCGTCGTTGTTGGAGAGTGACTGACCTGGAGAAACTTGGGTTGAAATTTCCATCTCCTGTGAAGCCTGGCTGGGTTGCTCTCTTGCTCTCTACCTGGCAGGGCTGTTGTGCGGAAAAGATGGAGAGGGAGGGAAAATACAGTACGAGAGGATGGGTCTTGTCTCGCTGTCACTGATATGAGACAATCTAGACTTTGTTATGGGATGCAGAGGCAGATAAACTTCCAATTCTTTTGAGAACTCGGTTTCATCCCCAGAAATCCGGAAGTGGGCTTACAATTGGGTACTTTAAAAAAGAGAGGCTCCCAAAGGAACTTCTGTCTGAGCCAGCAACATTTTCTTGGCTTTTTCCAAATCAGAGCCCCTCGCCTGGTTTTCCTCCTTTTTCTTCTGTTGTTCTGTGCAGGAATCCGCTCAGTCCTGCACAGTTTCACGCATCCCATGCAGGAGCAAGACTGTCCTGCGCAGGAATTGTAAGAATCTTGCATCTTTGGACATTCCTGTCGGGGAAAAAAAAGTGGGGGAAGGGCTGCAAAATGTTTGTGAAATCCTGTGAGAGTTCCCAAAGGGAAAAGAAAATTCTGGCAGAGTGACTGTTTGCCATGTATTGAAAAACAACAACAAAAACAACCCCCAAAAAATACCGAAAAGGGGATTTTATTTTCTCTGCTTCTCTCCAAGAGGGAAAAGCTGCTAATCATAGCTTTCATCGGCTTTGCCTGTTGTGTTTGTTTTGCAGGAAAGTGATGGGGAGAAAAGCGATTACAACCTGGTGGTGGATGAGGTGCGTGTCGGGGTGGGCGTCCGGGTTTCGCTCCGAGCTGGAGGCGAGAGCGTTTCTGTCTCTCTCTGTCTCTCTCTCTCTCTCTTTCCCCAAGGAGTAGGATTAAATTATGCAAAGACAGTCAGATGTGGGAGAGCACATTTGCATAATTTATGCAGGTTGGAGAGTTCAGTGCTGTTTTTTTCCCCTCCCAACCTCAAGCAGAGTTGGGTTTCTTAAAGCAAGGAAGGGTGGAATACCAGAACGGTTTGGGGAGGGGGTCACTTGGGCCTCTGTGTCTATTCCTGCAAACCGTGTTGCATTTCCTGCACAGGATCCCCCGTCCGAGCACAGCAGCCCGGCCTGCACATCTGCCGTCAAACTCCTGCCTGGCCGTCGGGATATTCCGGACAGCCCGGCTTCGCTGGCTTCCAGCCGGAGCGCCACCCCGCTCAAAGGAAAGGAACAGAACGCGGTAAGCTCTCAGCAGCGCTGAATGTCCAAATTGAGGCTGTTCCTCTCTCGTTCGCTTCCTTCTGTTTTGCGTTGTGCATCATTAGCCCTGTTGTGAGACAAAGAGACACGGTGGTATCAGGCAGCAAATGTCTGGAGGCGGCAAAGAAACAGATGGAGAAAGCTAGGGATGGGTCTTTTGGATCTTCTGGACTACAAAAACCATAATTCTCCATTTCGGGGTATTCTGCCTGACAGACATAGGGATGCCTCAATGTGTCTCACTTGGAGGGAAAAGCAATCACGTTGTGCTAGGCCTAACTTTGAGGCTGAGCCAGGCCTAGCTCTGTCCAAGCTTCCTATTCGGAAACAAAAATTTCCCAGCTAGCCCTGGGGCAGGAACAGGAAGCTTCGGTGGAGCTCGGCCTCAGAGCCTTTCAGTTTAGGCTTTTCTCCCAGGTGAGCCACACTGAGTTGTTTATAAGGTGTCTATAAGGGATGTAGGATTCCCCAGACAGAGGATTATGGGGTTTGTAGTCCAACCCCCTCCCCAATCCCATCCCTAGAGGAAGCTTGTGCACCGCATGCCTTCAAGAATCAAGATAAATGCTTTCTCGTTGTCACTCTTCAGACACTGGCAATGACAGGTTAGTTTTAACATATTAGCATTTTAAATAGTTACTTTTCCATTCAAGGACAGGACAAGGAAGCTGATGTGTCTGGTTTCAAAACATAACTTTGTGAAACGGATGCCGAACGTTTCCTTTCAAATTTTTGTTTTTCACAGCTTAGAAGGCGCATCTCTTACTTGCCTTCCCGTAGAATATACGAATAACCCTTTACGTGAAATCTAACACCTTATGCCCGGGCTGAGTTGCAGAAAGATTTAGCTGCCAGATTTACTTTCGACTCGGGCAGCAAAAAGCCTTGTTCTACAATAGGAACATGAGGCTGGATAGCCAGACTTGGTCAGATCTGTTACGATCACAGAACAGATCCTCCACGCACAGCAGCTGCCTGTCTTCAATTGCGAAATGCTGAGGACTAGGAACGCAGGAAGGCTGTTTTACCGGCTTCTGGGATTCCCATTGAGACCTCCGGTTGCCTGGCGTGAGAGCAGAATGCTGGATTAAAGACACCCCGGGCCAGATCCAGCTTGGGGTTGTACTTTACAGAAATATATTGTGATTGTGAAGTAGCACCTCCATTTCCAGGAGCAGTCTACCTCAGATTCCTAACAGCCGGGAATTTGCAACGCAGGAAGGCTGTTGCCTCCACGTTTCCCTGGTGGGTTTCCCGTTCCTCCCGTTGCCATTTTCCAGCATCCAAACACCGCCCCCCCCTTTGCCCAACGCCTCTCCTTTGCTTCTCTTCTTCCATCGCCCGCCTCTGCCCCCCCCACCCGCCTTGTTCTGCTCCAATCCGTGGCACGGTGCCCACCAGGGACTTGTGAAGTCCTCTGAGGATTTTAATGTATAATTAATTGCTATTAGTGCCAGCTTGTGGGGTGGCACGGGAGGGAGGGGAGAGATTACCAGAGAGGGGGGACTCTCCGGTCTAGGCGGGTCATCTGGGCAAGGGGCAACCATTAGCCAAACGGAGGGCACAGGAGTGTTGATCTTTTTCTTTTCTTTAAAAAAGCATGTCTTTGGAGGTTCGCTCTCCCGTCCCTTCTGCCTCTCTCTTTATCTCTTCCATTTGGCTGCTTTTATGAATCCCCCTGGGTTCTCCTGTCCTCTTTTTTTCCCCGGTCTCTCCCTCCCTTCTTTTCCCTTTATGACTTGCACACAACACACACACACACACACACACAGAGAGAGAGAGAGAGAGAGAGAGAGAGAGAGAGATGTGCAAACTCTATCGATTGTCTAGAAAACTGCCAAGATAGCTGGATTGAAACATCAGAGTGAGCAGGAAAAGCATTATTGATTCGTTCGGGGGGGGGGAACTCTTCAGCCAAGGCTCGGGAGAAAAAGCTTTCCAGGTCTCCGGTGGACGGAAGGAGGGGTCAATGCAGCACCCTCTTCCACTTGTGGGGGAACAGTTGGATCAGGATTAGCCGATTTCCTAACCCTGCCGAAGAAGGACCCAGCCGGTAAGGCAGCCTTGGATTTCCTAACCCTGCCGAAGAAGGACCCACCCTTTAAGGCAGCCTTAAGAGATTCATTCATTCATTCATTCATCCATCCATTCATTCATTCATTCTTCCTTCCTTTCTTCCTTCCATTATATATATGCTGCTTTTTTCCCTTTATGGGACCCAAGGCGGCTCACAACAGATAAAACTATAAAACAAACACAGTTTTAAAATTCTATATACTGTAAATATCATCTTTAAAAATACACCAATGAAGCCTATACTGTATTAACATTCGAAAGCAAGATGACAAACTCTTTGAAAACATTTGAGATGGGAAGCTTTTAATCTTCACCTCTGCAGGCCGAGCCGTTCCTCTGGATGTGCATAATTGAAGAGGGAGAAAATCCTGGCCCCTTCCTCCGTATACTTTTGGCCTACAAATCCCATCGTCTTAAACCCTCCAGCGGTGCCCAGTTCTAAAAACTGGAAATCCCAAACGGAGATCCATGTTTCCTGCCCTGGGCGTACAGCGTTTTCTGGGTTGCTTTGAGCAAAGCTTGGATCAGTTCCTTTTCTTTATGAACCCGTAACTTCGGGAATTAGTCAATCATCATGGCCTACAAACCCCAAAATCCACCCAACCCGACGCCGAGAGAGGCCCGGAAAGAAAGAACAAGAAACCGGGCCTTCTCGGCAGTGGCCCTTTGGCTCTGAAACAGCCTCCCAACAGAAATTCATCTGGCACCCTCGCTGGATGTTTTTAAAAACCATTTGAAAACATGGCTTTTCAGGCAGGCTTTCCCTCCAGTCAACTAAACTGATCTTTACTTTTCTTTAATCTTTCCATCTTGGCAAGGATTTATATAATTGTTAAAATTTTTGATGTTTTAAATGTTTTTAAGATGTTGTTCACTATGTTTTTATGTATGTAAGCCACCCCGAGTAGACCTTGTCTAGGGGGGTGGGGTAAAAATCAAATAAAAGTAAAGTAACGTAAACGCTCTATAGCCAGAGTGTCTACAAGTAGAGCGGCTGCTAGGTGTTGGAGGTTGCCAGTAATCCAGAAAAATAAGATTTTTCAAGGTCCTTTCTTGACACTAGGAAAGTGGCAGGGGGCAGGTTGGTGAGCAAAAACCACATTGCAGAACCTCCTTGGAGTAGTACAGTCTACCCCTGATTTATAGTCCAAAAGAGGAAGGGTACAGCTACATGATAAAGTCAAATGTCATCCTCAAGCTGTGTTTTCAAGGGGCCGGCCTTTTAGCCGAAGCTCACTGCTGGCCGTTTGTTCCCTTTGAATGTCCTAATGTTCGATGAAAGCCCTTCCCTGGATTTGGATCTTCCCTGGCACTCAAAGCGCGGCGCATTTTGGGAAGTCGTGATTCTTGTGAGCGGCTCCGAGCAGGCGGGGGAAGCAGCCCAGAAATTAGCCAAACTTGCTTACGCTAGTATCTCGGCTCCGGCTCCAGGGAGTCAGAGATACTGCTCCTGATTATGGAGGTTCTATTTGGATGTCATGGCTTGGGAAAGGTTTCCCACCAAAAAAATTGTGTCTGTCCCGAACCTTGCTTAATATTTGGGGGTGTGGGGAGGATTGTGGTTTTTTTTAAAGCTGTCTTTCCCTTTCAGAACGATGCTAGCGCTGCTGTTTGTAAGCCGGCCAGCTTGTCTCCACCTCATGGCTCCCTGACCCCGGGGCCGGGGCCGAGCTGCACCCACCAGATCCAACAGATCACCTCTAAACCAACTACTACAGACACCATCAGTAAGTGACCCACCCAGGCAAGAGGGCTTTAACATTTCCCTGCCAATTTGGACTACAACCCCCATCGTTCCCCAGCCGATGATGGGAGCTATAATGACAGCCTTCGGAGTGGGGACTCTGAAGGCTGGATTGAGCGAATGGGTTGGGACATGGGCCGAGAGGAGCCTAGGCGGGTGTCCTGAATCCACCGTGAATTGCAATTTAATTATCCATGATTGCCCTTTTTATTTATTCCAACAATACGCTGATCATTGTCATTTTTATTACTGTAATCCCCACCTGGGATGGGAAGGGATGTTTGGAGGAATCAGGTCTGTTTTGCTAAAAAAAGATATTCATGGCTTCCCCTCCCCCTCCTCTCTCGCCCTTCCTTTCCTCCCTTCCTACCTGAGCACTCCGAAGCCCACTCAGCTTGACAAGTTCCTACGCTTCCTCTTTTGGCCTCGTGCCCCATGCGGCGCTCAACGGAGAACTCCCCGCGCCCAGCTCCTACGTCAGCATCCACCTCTCCCCCCAGATCGGCGGGACCGTGATGTACGGACGCTCCCCGGTGGTAAGGGTTAGGGTCTTGGGTGATCTCTCGATTTGAGCCACGGTCGGAAATGTGGCGTTTTCTCCCTGTTTTGGACTCTCTTTACCTCACCGATTTCGTTTGGGACAGACTGGACGAAGCCTCCAAACTGGACCATCCCACCGGAGTTTGGAAAGAACGCGTTAGATTTCACGTATTCATGTCAAAAGGGTGACTTTTGCACAAAACGGCAGGAACGCCTCTGTTTAAAAAAAAAACAATACAATATGAGACAGGCGTTAAAATGTTAAAAATGGGAGGCCCCAGTCCTCATTGATCTGAATCTAGAAGCGTGTCTAAATAAAAGGGATACCCAGGGCAGTTTAGGGGCTAGAGTGACAGGGTGAGGGTTCGAATCCACGCTCAGCCATTGGACCTCACTGGGGGTGTGGAATTGGGGAAACCACTCCTTAAGTATAGCACTTACCTTTATGGTTGATGTCAGTGGGTCCTGATCTGATGACACATAGCAATAAAAAATTAACAATTTGAATAATAACATCAGAATCTGCCTTACCCCTTCTGGCTCCTCTATATTGCCAGCTGTATTCAAGAGGGACCCTCCAAGGTTTTAGGACATTTCCCATCACCCTCAAACCTCATCCTGTTTTAGCTAGGGGTGTCCAGAATGCATATCCAGTTATAATCATCTTAGAATTGCAGAACTGGAAGGGACCCCTAAGGATCATCCAGTCCAGCCTCTTGTCAGGGAGGCCCAGTGGGGAATTCGAACTCCCAACCTCTGGCTCCACCACCAGAGACTTCAACCCCTGAACTCTCTGGCCGTTCCAGTTCTGTATACTCAGCTTGTATCACACCATTAACTTACCATCCTGCACCAAAATATGAGCAAAGATGCTAGTCCTCCCTGTTCGAAACCCAGAGGTGATTTTTTACATCCCAAGTTTGCCCCGTACCAAGCTGGGCTATCTTTCTATCTAGTCTAGGTTTGATCTATTCACGTGGATAGCAGGTCTCCTGAAAAAATGGTCTTTGGGACCGTTGACCCTGGGAGACACAACCTTCATTACGGAAGCTTGAGGTAAACACTACCCTTGATCCAAAGCTGTCGGCCACAAACATCTGTCTCTCTCTTTGCTGTCCCCACAGGTTGCCTTTGAAACACATCCGCATTTGCGCGGCTCAGCCGTCTCTGCCTCCCTGCCTCCTGTTCCCGGCGGCAAGCCGTAAGTACTGTGCTGCTGCTGAGCGACCTGCCAGGGAAGGAAGCCGACATTTTGTCAGGTGCTTTTGATGTGGCTGAGCAAACTCAACCCATATGGCTTGTGGTTTGCCTTTGACTGATCACCTGTCCACCAATTTATTTAAAACACAGTGGTGGAACAGGCAGGGTGCTTTGCAACCTCTTCACTTAGGCAACCTTTTGACCTTAGGGGGGGGCTAACAACCCCAACCATCTGCCTTTATTTCTTGCTGTATTGCCATCGGATCTCTACCACTTTGGGTTTTTTCCAAAGACTCCTGAAATCCTTTAAAGCCTGCATTTCCTTCCTGCCCATCCCGCCTGCAATGTCCACCCAGAGTCCTCTTCCTGTGCATGAATCCACCTCCTATACCTTACTGCTCCTCATTCCTGGAACCCTATGGATTTCTGGCTCCTTTGAATGCCTCTGTCTGCTTCACTCCCCCCCCCTTCCTTATTTGTTGACTTCTGAAACTTCACAAATTGTTGGACTAAGCCTATCGTGTTTTCCCTTTATACCCAGAACTCTTCCCGCTAATCCTACAGGTCTCTCCGGCACCCTGAAATGGCTTTTCCTGCTCTTCCGCGCTCCCCATAAACCCCTGAACCCGTTTCCAATCCATCTAATGTTAGACTGCCTTTTCGAAACCGTGTTCAAATCTCTGCATTTTTTGCACAGTTAATTTCTCACACACCAGCTGTAGACGCACTGTCCCCGTTCAGCTCTTCCTGCTTCTGCATCCATCCATTTCTTCCCCTCTTCAAGTTTAGATGGCAGACGCTTTGGGGCAGAGACCTCTCCTTGAAATCCTGCTTCATGTGCCTTATTGCATGGGTAGCGCTCTAAGCATCGTTGGCGACGAGTTAAGAGCTGACGTGTTTTTTCCAAGCTCTGCACACCATTCGCTGTCTAAATTGCTGATTCTGATTCGACAGGGCATACTCCTTCCATGTGAGCGCCGACGGGCAGATGCAGCCGGTCCCTTTCCCGCCCGACGCCCTCATCGGCACCGGCATCCCCCGGCACGCCCGCCAGCTCCACACCCTGAATCACGGCGAGGTGGTCTGCGCCGTCACCATCAGCAACTCCACCCAGCACGTCTACACGGGCGGAAAGGGATGCGTGAAGGTGTGGGACGTGGCGCAGCCGGGCCCGAAAACCCCGGTGGCTCAGCTTGATTGCCTGGTATGTATGGGGAGGAAAAGAGAAATCGATCTGCCTTTTCAGGGGCATTTGATTTTCGCTTCATTCCTTCTTTTCTCCTTCAAATACACACATTGAGGTGTTTTTTTTAATCACCCTTTCAAACGCTCCATGCATCAAACGTTGGCGTGCAAAAAGCACTGGATAAAATCCATTTCTCTTGACTTCGGAAACATTCCGGAAGAAAGCCACTGAGGCTGGGTTTTAGTCCGAACTTTTAAAAGCAAGCCCTTGTCTCTGGATCTCCTGCAACATCCATGCCAAAGCAGTGATGGCTGGTTTGCATTTTTCCAGTGGGAGAAAGATTAGGAATGTACACGTTGGCATGGAGCCATGCCAGAAATCCAATTGGGTGGGCCCTGATCGCGCTAAAATAAATTGGGTGCTTATTTAAAATTAGCCTTTTAAAGTGTTGTTCTGGTTTAAGATTCTAGTGTGGATTTTTTGTGTGTGTGCTCATTTTCCTGCTTTCTTTAGTTGTTTTTTTTTTTTAAATCTTACCAGAACCGAGAGAACTACATCCGGTCCTGTAAGCTCCTCCCGGACGGACGGAGCCTTATCGTTGGCGGGGAAGCCAGCACCCTCTCCATCTGGGACCTGGCGGCGCCAACACCCCGGATCAAGGCGGAGCTGACCTCCTCGGCCCCCGCCTGCTACGCCTTGGCCATCAGCCCGGACGCCAAGGTCTGCTTCTCCTGCTGCAGCGACGGCAACATCGTGGTGTGGGACCTCCAGAACCAGACGATGGTCAGGTGAGATACGTGACTCAGAATTCTCTCTCTCTCTCTCACACACACACACACACACACGCGCGCACCAAGTTTGATGGGGCTTATGTTCAGCCTGGAAGGGGGAGCCAGTTTCAGCCACCAGATCACAAACCCCCCAGTATCTCAGGTTTATAATCCCAAGAGAGAATTTTTCCAATCGTTGGTCTTCATCTAACTTTAGAGATGGTACTACAAATACCATAATTCCCCATTCTGGAAGTTCTGCTTGACAGGCGGACGCCCGACCGAGTGTGGCTCACCTGGGGAGAAAGGCCTCAGCTGAAGAGCTCTGAGGCTGAGCTAGGCTTAAACTCCGTCCAAGCTTCTCAGATCTTGGATTTCAGGCCGGGCCTGCGTTGTACGAAATACTGGCTGAAATTCTGGCTGGTAAAAGGTAAAGCTACATCTGGGGAACCATGCAGGTCTTTACACTTGGGGAGTCCAAATTGTGCAGTTGATTACACAACTGGTCAGACAGTGCAAGGCATGACTGTTGTGCCCACCTGCAGGACACTTTTGTGAATATTACTCCCACTTCAGCATTATTTTCATTGCAGAGTTTTGAATTTCTGGTAAGATCCCTTTGGCTACGCAACAGAAGCACAGACACTCACACAGGAGAAAACCGTCAAGTTCTCCAGATAGTCCACCTCTCCCTGCAAGGCAGCCTGCAAGGGTGTAGAAACTCCCAAAATTTTTTTCCCTGCTGCAACTAAGAATTACGTAGGCGTAGGTGTGCAACAGGATCCCAGCCGTTTTCCAATTTCACGCAAGCCTCCCAGACCAGAATCCAGCTGGGGAAAGCAATACAACACAACTATCGAAGGGCTTCAGAAGAGCTGTAGATATACAGTATGGCCGATTTCTCACCCACCCACCCCAATCCCAGTTCTTGTTTCCTTCTCTGCCACCCTAAGCAGGCAGTTCCAGGGCCACACCGATGGCGCCAGCTGCATCGACATATCCAACGACGGCACCAAACTCTGGACGGGGGGCTTGGACAACACCGTGCGGAGCTGGGACCTTCGGGAAGGCCGGCAGCTTCAGCAGCACGACTTCAGCTCCCAGGTTGGCTGGGAGAAGGGGTGGACGCACCGTGGGGTTGCTCGGTGGGGTTTGTGTGTGTGTGTGTGTGTGTGTGTGCTGGCAGCTTATTATGGGGTTGCTCGGTGGGGTTTGTGTGTGTGCGTGTGCTGGCAGCTTATTGGGGGGGAAAGAGAGGCTGGTCAACATAGCAAAACGCAGAGAAGCTGGTTTTAGAAACGGTAACAGCATTCCCGTTAGCCTGGGAATGACAAATTCGGTTGGTTCGGCTAAAAATACGAACAAAATAAATTTTGGGGGAATTCGTTAGCCTGGGAATGACGAATTTGGTTGGTTCGGCTAAAAATACGAAGAAAATAAAATTTTGGGGAATTCGTTCCCATTGGCTTTTGAACAAAATGTATTCAGTTTGCATCTCTTGGAAACAAATGAGCCAGGATTTAGAAAAACCACCCCCTTTTTTTTAGGGTTGAAGGGATTACAAAGCCTAGAATCCTGTACCTTGCACAGCCAATGTGGATTCTGGGCCCTGCTGTCATCCAAGGATCTGATCCGAATACAAAATGCGATGGGCGAATTTCGCCCATTGGTGTTTCAGGAATCAGTGCTTGGAGAAAAGCATACTGTTTTTAAAATATTGTGCCCAAATGCATTTTAATCCATAAGAGGTAAAAAGGGGGTTCCCCTTAAAATATATGAACAAAAAAGTATAGATTTTTGTGGGGGGAGGGGGAGAGAGTAAAACACAGAGTGATATGTAAGAATTTTCATGGAAAAAAGAGGGGGGGAACGAGCTTGTAATCTAATATTTATGCAACTCAGAACAAGCTTTGAAATGGAAATCCGAGAACATGAAGGCGTTCGGGTTGAACTAACTCATGTCAAAGTTTCCTAGAAATATTCAATTCTCATTTGCTGCCTCCATAACGAGGGACATGATCGGATTTATGGCTCTCCTTTTAAGTTCCTTTAGGGTGAATCCACCCCGGCTTTTAGTTTTGACTTTACATCCTTCAAGGTGGTGATGCTGAATTTTTGGGCATCGGCTTCCAAGCTTTGTAGACCTCTGGGAAAGTTCAGACTAAAACCTGGAGCGCATTTACGACCCTGGCACAATCGGAATCGCCGGCCAGCCGTTTTTTCTGGGGTGCCTCTCCCACCCGATTCTGTGTCCCTGACTTCCTTTTCCACCCTGATATTGCCCTAGATTTTCTCCTTGGGGTACTGCCCCACTGGTGAGTGGCTGGCCGTTGGGATGGAGAGCAGCAATGTGGAGATTCTCCATGTCACGAAATCTGAGAAGTATCAACTCCATCTTCACGAGAGCTGCGTCTTGTCCCTCAAGTTTGCCTCCTGTGGTAGGTGTGTGAGCTCCCACGGGGCGAAGCCAGACTTTGCTCGACAGGGGATGTAGTGGTTCCTGGGCTGATTGGGATAAAATCACAGGACCTGTTCATTACCTGGGGTCATACTCTCTCCCGCCATCCCCCCTTAGCTTCCTGCATTTCCTTCAGCCTCCACAACAGATAGAAGTGAGGGAAAGATTTTTCCAGGAACACAATATTCCTACAGCAATGCAAAATATTTTGGTGTGGTTTGTTCCTTAGAATCTGTTAGTCCAAATTTTAAGGGATATCTCGAAGGTGCTGTGGATCTGTTTGTGGGATTGGGCCCAGCGGCATCTCAAGCTTCCATGAAGTTTGGACTAAACCCTTTCCAGCTCTAAAATTCTGTGACTCACCTAGATGGAACTGTCCAGAAATGGAGCCCCTCTTCAGAGTGCATATGGAACTCCTTGCCACAAGAGAATAGTTCTGAGGGCTTTCCAAATGGGGGTTAGATATGAATTTTCAGAGGTGGGTGGGTCTATCTATGGTGGTTCATCCTGGCAGCCAGGTGGAGCCTCAAGAGCAAGGGAGAGTCTATCTCTGAATCACAGAGGTTATAGAAGCTGGCAGCCCAAATGGTCAAACTATCTTCACCCCCATCTAGACCTTTCATCTCCCCCTGGCAGGGAGATGTTCGTGCAGATCTAATCATCCTCATTTCTCCCACCGGGCCCCTTTTATTCTCTTCCTTCAGGAAAATGGTTTATCAGCACCGGCAAGGATAATTTGCTGAACGCGTGGAGAACCCCATATGGGGCCAGCATTTTCCAGGTAAGGGATTGAGAGGAAGAAGTAACAGTGATGTGGCTTTTACAGGGGAACCAGTGAGATAAAACTGACCCAAAGTTTGTTTTAATTATGGGTAGTTACTTAGAACTCGAAGGCACAGAAAAGTAACTACTGTTATACTAGCAAATTTTCAAATAGTACAGTAGGACTCCCCATATCCATGGGATCAGTATCTGCAGTTTCCCTTATCCACGGCCTGAAAATATTAAAAATATTTTTAAAAAACGCAGAAAGATATATTTCCATGATGTAATTACCCAAACTGGCCACTAGGTGCCAGAGATGATGCTATATATAGGGTTCACTGTTAACCACAGATTTCGGTATCTGCTGGGAGCTTGGAACCAATTCCCTGTGGACGGAAGGGTCCTAATCTTATTCTTTATTTGACTGTAGTTTTAAAAATAATTAAAATTGAGGTTAGATGTGCTAATGTTTTTTATTTCTGCATTCAAGAGGAGTTGGACTAAATGACCTTTGGGGATCCCTTCTAACTCTGCAATTCGTTAACACTTTTTAGTTCATTAATATTCTAAACACTTGTTAGTTCATTAATATTCTAAACTGATTCTGTTACTTTTTTAAAAAATCAGGACATTACAAGCCTGACTAACTGTGCTGATGGTAAACCTTCCCTCCTGGATCTATATAATTAATCAAAATACTTTGCGCCTATAAAAAAAAAATCAGAAATATTCCTTCATGACATTCTGAGATTGGAAAAGTTACTTTTTTGGACTATGAAGCCCAGAATAACAGCCAGGTTTTACAAAAAAAAGTTAGGGTTTTTTTGCCATTCATTTTGCTACTGTTAGAGTTGTGCTTTACATACTGCAAACATATTAATTATTAATAATTAGCCATTGCTTGTCATCTTCAACTTTGAAACACTCTTAAAAACTGGAGTTATAGAATTTGAGGTCAGGGGCCAGCTTGAGGTTTTAAAGGACATATAGGGCAGATAATAAGGGACTATAGGTTTCCAAAAGGCACCAAGCTGCCCGCTGTCAGAAACAGGGTCCTGGGTTTGATAAACACAGTAGGACCCCCATATCCATGTGAGATTGGTTCCAAGCCCCCTTGCAGAGGCTGAACACCATGGATAATAATAAACACTATACATAGCATGGTAAAAAGGAAAAAAAAACATATAGATTTTCATCATGTACTTACCAGAATTAACCATTAGAGGGAGCCAGAAACCATCCTATGTATTCTTCAGCAAGACTACATAGTATGGTCTCTGGTTCCTTCTAGTGGCCAATTCTGGGAATACACAATGAAAATACATATTTCTAGGTTTTTTTTCTTTTATCATTTTTAATATTTTCAGATTCGGGAAACCGCGGATACTGATCCCACGGACAAAGGGGGTCCTAACTGTATCCTTTTCTGAAACAGCAATTCACATTTCTGTCTCCCACCTTTGTCCTCAGTCCAAAGAAACGTCGTCGGTGCTCAGCTGCGACATCTCCTCCAACGACAAATTCATCGTGACCGGGTCGGGGGACAAAAAAGCCACCGTTTACGAACTGGTCTACTGAAGAGGGATGTTGCCGCCGCCGCCGGCAGGCTCGTGCTGTTTCTTCTTTTGGAAACGCTCGTACACACAAATACACGCTCACTAGGGACACTGTTTCGGGACCCGCCCCAGCGCTGCTGTGGAAACACTCGGTGGACTTGATGGGACTAAGGGGGCGCAACCCCCCCTTTTTCACACTGATGAGAGCACGACTCTGCTGTTCTCCGGGGACCCCGATTTTGAAGCCGGCTGGGGGAGGAAGTGACCCCTACCTTGTCTTTGGAACCTCATGAGGACTAGAAACACACACACACACACACTACAGATTCTCAGGAAGCTTTTTTTGGCACTCTTGCCTGCCCCTCGGCCTACACCTTGCAAGAGGGGTGGGGTGGAGGACGGTCTCCCCACCATCTCCATTTTGTTTTGGCCCATTTGTCTAGAAGAGGGGAGGAAATTGCCTCTCAGCTGGAAAGCTCCTCCCCCCTTGTGATGGACAAGCCAAGGAGCCAACCAGCAGGGGGCTTCACCTCCCCGCCTCCCACTGTCTCCTCCCAGCAAAGACTTTTCCAGCGATTCCTTTTTTTCTTCTTCTCCTTTATGTGTGGAAAGTTGTATAAATCAGAACAATTAAATGTATTTAAAGAAGGGCCGGTGCTTGTGTTAATCCGTTTGAGGGGTTGCGTGCACAACAAAATGGATCCATAAATTACTTAGGAAAGGGATGTTCCATCTTACACTCAAAAACCCATTGGCCCCAGCTTAGCATGCCAAGGATGCTGGGCACGAGTCCAAGGTAGGGCCTGTATTTTTGACAAACCCGCTAGACTTTACAGTCTGTATCAAATGGGGGAGACTTTTCTTCTCCCCTGGAAATGGGTGGTTCTTTTTTCCCCCAAATAGACCTATTTTGTTCACAGTTTCTTAGTGTTGACAAAACACTAGATAGCTCAGGGGTTGAGGTATCTGGCTACAGAGCCAGAGGTTGTGAGTTCGAATCCCCCCCCCCACTGGGCCTCCTTGATAGGAGCTGGACTTGATGATCCCTAGGACCCCTTCCAACTGTAAGATGATGATGATCTCAAGCAGCACATTTTGAGTGACACAAAGAAGACACAAACAATAGTGGCATGCCTTTGGCTAAATTCTGGCTCGTCAGTCTAAATTCTTAGTGAGACAGCCACGAGATTTCTCATGTCCAACACACACAAAAAGTCCCCCCCCCCAAAAAGAGCATCTCCTGCAATGTGCTCAGAACACTCCTGCATAAATCTAGCAACTTTGAGATGCAAACCCGAAGCCTACCGTAAGCACACAAGGAGCGGCTTAGGGATCAGAAAGATACAAAAAACCCATTCAAGGCTTCTGGTTTTCAAGAGCCCACGCAACCAAGCCGCTGCTAGAATCAGACACAGCGCCACGTCTCAACGGGTTGTCAGTTCAGAGAAATTTGTTGCTGTTTCTCGCTTTTGCCTGGAAGGAGACGACCAAAGGAAGCGTTCCCTTTATCGTTGTTGTTTTTTTTTAAACTTGGTCAGACTAGAAAAGTGGCTGGTGGGATTGTCTTCCGCTGGTAACAGAACGACTCAACTGGCTTTCTGTACTTTGCATTCTGACTTGGGGTGCTGGAGGGAGTACCCCTTCCTTGTATATCCCAAATTCTTGGGGCTTTTCTCCATGCTTCAGTGCTCGGAAAATTCTTATATTTCTCCTGGAGAACGCTTGTCACTTTTAAAATCTTTTGTGCCGTTTGGGGAGGATGCCGTGGCGTTCAAGGGGGAGCCGGATGGGGCCAAAGAGGGGGCCAGCCCAGCAGCTCAACTGCGACAAGCAAGTAACACACAAGCAGGGCAGGGTGGTGTAGTGGTTAGCAGTGGAGACTTTTGAGAAGGGCAGAGAATCTGGTCCGGGTTTTAAGCTGAGCTTTTGAGCTGTCCAAAGGAACACCCTTTCTCCCCATAGTCCTTCCAGAACTCTGGACACCTCCCTTCACAATTTGAACGAAAACAGAAGAGGTCCACGCCTGGAAAATTGCTCTCCGGTGTTGAAAAGGGGCTGAAAACACTCGGGTTCAAGTTCCCTTAGATGATGAGCTGCTGCTAAATCTCAGGAAAAATTTACTTTCACTCAGTTTCTTCTGTTTTCTTCCTGGGCTTGTTTCATTTCAAATGGTGAGCTGTGGGTTTTCCTCCTGTATCAAAATTCCTACATAGTTCTTAACATGCTTATTAACATCCCCGTTTCCACATTTCAACTCAACTTGCAATTCTCTCCCACTTTGGCTTATAATTTTTTTCCCAATCATGTGAATTTGCATTTTTAAATATAGACTTTGTTTTGGGCCCAGTGAGAAATGGAGCACACTCGAAATCACGAGCACACGGTGGCTCAAACACAGAGAATTTTTTAAAAAGCCAACCAAAATGGTTCCGATCCAAACATTCTTGAGATCAGGTGCTCATTTCTTGCAACAGCTCACTGCTGGTGCAGAAAATGTAGTTTTTAACAAGATTATTTGAGGCAACCCCACCCCTCCGCCTGTTCCTCCTGTCTCTCTCACTACCATTTCTCTGTTGTTCTCGTTTCCCCGGATCAGCTCCTGGCTGACGACACCCTTGAAATCAAGGTTCTAGTCCCTTTCGACTTGACTGTGCCTCGGAACCCATATCTTTTGAAGACATGTGTGCGGGGTTCTTAACGATGCTCCCAAGAAAAAGTCTAAGCCGGCGGCGGTTGGGTTGGTGCCCCAAGGAACACTCCCATACCTTTTTATTTTAAAGATTTTTAAAAAATCAAACCACACGAGATAAACCGTTCCAAGGAGATTGGATTTAAACGCGCACGCACACCCACACGAAAGACAGACCACCTTCAGCTCCCCTTCAAAATACAAACAAGGAACAAAGGTCAAGAGTCCTCTTGAAGATTTGTCTTCTTCTCTTCCATCATCTTTAGCTGGAAAAGCCTGTCTCTTTCCTGGATTTATGGGGAACCTCCCCTTGTCCTCCTCAGTCTGGAGAGAGGTTTTCTGTAAAACGGATTCTTTGGCTGGGAAGAAAAGGTTTCAGCTTTGACGCAGGCGCTGATTGGCCTCAATACATGACCTCGTAGACCGACGCTTTCTTGTCCCCAGAACCGGTGACGATGAACTGATCATCCATGGAGACGTCACAGCTGAGGACGGAGGATGATTCTTTTGACTAGAATGACGGAGGGGGGGGGGAAGAGAAGCATTATGTTGGGCTTACCAAGATTACAGGTAGAAAACACAATAAAAACACATGCTAAACAAGTTTTTAAAAAGGGTCCTTGCTCACACCAGGAGCAAATTCAGGCAGTAAACGTCAAAAAGCCGGTCGCGAAAAACGAACTTTCCAAAATATATCCGGACGACACACTCCCAGGAGTTTAATAAAACATTTTTTTAACGGAAACAGCTTCCCATGAGTGTTTCAAGTCAGCCTGGGGAAATCTCGACTCCTGAACTAATTGACCCAGTCAAATTTATATCATTCTGGAACAAAGCTCAAGGTCCAGATTTGGTTCTGATGCAAATATGATGGGAGTTTACAGATTCGGACCTGGAATGGAAACCAAATTAAGATAGGCACAAACTTCTTCAGTGTATCGTTTTTTTTCCCCCTGAGGAAATGCTGAACCGGCCTCATGTGTAAAGCCAGAAACTAGCCATCTGAAATTTGCTGTTTGCTTTCTCTTTTGAGGATCTATCATTAGAGATTGGATTTTTCTTGGAGTACAAATCCTGTAATTCTTCATTCTGGAAGTTCTACGTGACAGATAGGCAGCTTAAGTGACAGCTCAGTGTGGCTCACCTGGGAGAAAGGCCTCATGGCCTAGCTTTTCCCAAGCTTCCTGTTCCTGTCCCAGTGCTACCTGGGAGATTTCTTTCCAAACAGGAAGCTTGGGTGGAGCTCGGCCTTGCTCGGCCTCAAAGCCTTCCACAGTTAAGGCCTTTCTCCCAGGTAAGCCACAGTATCTATGGTGTCTGTCAGGTAGAACTCCCAAGAGGTGGATCATGGGATATGTGGTCCAAAAAATCTGATAATTCCCATCCTTGCCTATCGTGTACCTTAAATTTGCACCCTTCAGTGCAACATCAAAAACTGTTCACCTGTTGCGGCTCACTTAATGCCAATACATTCAGATAACTAGAAAAGAACAAAGGAGGGATGGTGGGTGTGCATCCTTTAATCCCAAACATGTCCCATCTTCCCCCTTACCTGGAATATACTGGCCCCATAAGGTGTCCTCCAAGCATTTAACAAATTGTCTTTTCCAGTACTTACAAACCATTTCCCTGTAAACAAGAGGAGAAGCAGTGTGACATAGTAGTTAAAGCCAGAGTGAGAATGATCACATTTCTTATACCCCACACTGGACAACTGAGTCCACTGGGAAGCCTTGAAAAAGGTGAGAAGGAGGGGGTATAAATATAAAAGGTAATAACCAAGATAATAAGCAGGGGGGTGAAACACACTGAAACACCCACTCAAAGAAAAGGTCCTCAGCTTTGGAGAAAGTTGCCTTCTCAAGGAACGTCTAGTGTGTGGACTCTTTAATATTAGATACACCTTGAAATTAACAGCACACTGATTGTCTAATTGTGGGTCCAGAAAATGGACACAAAGTAGGAATTGTGGAATTGGTATCCGCGGTTTCACTTATCTGTGGTCTAAAAATATTAAAAGAAAAATCCCAGAAATGTGTGTTTCCGCAATGTAGTTGCCAGAACTGGCCACTAGAGGGGGCAGGGACCACGCTAATGCCTAGTGTTCACTATTATCCACAGTTTTTGATATCCGCAGGGGGCTTGGAATCAATCCTTCACGGATCTCAGCAAGACAGGGGCACGTCGCCATTGGTGGATGCATCGTTCCCCCTGGCTACACTAAAGGTGCAAGGAGATCCAATCCCAATGAAGGATTCACTGTGCTCATGGGATCTGAATTCTGTATCACTCTGGAAGCAGGCAGGATGGCACGGTCTTTCTGAAGCGGGTGTTGCTGGAGGCGAAATGGAGTTTGAGGAAAAAGGCCTGCCTGGCAAGCTTGGTAAGAGAATGGAGCTGCCCAAAAGAGGGCATGGCTGGCAACCTGGCTGAATCATGCCGTTGCTGTTGTGTCTTCCTTCCTTCCTCCCACACCTCGGTTTTAACCACCTCGTCACGCGATTGCTCTCTTCCATGCGGCACAGATGGATATTCCCCCCCCCCTTCCTGGGGCAGAGCTTTTCCACGCTTACCGCAAGAGGCAAACTTGAGGGACAGGACGCAGCTCTCGTGGAGGTGAAGCTGGTACTTCTCCGGCTTCGCCACATGGAGGATCTCGACGTTGCTGCTCTCCATCCCGACGGCCAGCCACTCGCCGGTGGGGCAGTACCCCAGGGAGAAGATCTGGGGAAAGGAGGAAGCAAAAGGGCACGGCGTTAAACACTCACGCCTTGATGGAACCAGAAATGCTTGAAGGCGCACCAACCGTTCAAAACCTACGGGTGAGTTTGGGAAAACCAAGACCCAAACGTCCCAGCCCTGTTCGCTTTTCTTCTTTTAACCAAAGCCCAAATGTTTTCTCTTTTTGGATGGACATCCTGATTTCCTCCTCTTTTTTCCCCCCCTTCAGATCTGGCTCATTCTAGGAAGGTTGAACATGTATGGGATGAGGCCAGAAATGTCTATTGGTGTGTCTGCAGCTCATTC